ACACACACTACAACTAACGACCTACTTTAAATCAGTACCGTTTACATCAAAACACCATGCTGTTACCTATTTAGCTATGGAATCCGGATAGCCTTGTCACTTGTGTAAAGGGTATGAGATCTAATTCAATATGACAAAGGTTACAATGATCCCAAAGTTGATATTTTGATTGACAGTTGATCAGTTTTAGTTGATAATTGAGTATCCTATATCGATTACCTCGATATAGCCATTGTAGTGTGTATGCTAATGTATTGAGCCCATAGGGCTTTGCCAAGCTTCCGGGCAAACTAATAAACCTTTTCTGTCCCAGCTAGTATTCACCTTTTTCCGACTTTGTCAATTATTCGCTTATATCGTAGTTGTTTTTATTCAAGTGTCTGCTGACTTCACTTAAAACATGCCTAACCTATTTTTGTCTGACAATAAATACTCAGTCATGCCTCATTATATTGATTTGGCTAACCCTCTCCTTCTCCACTTCACGTCGCTTTGCTTGTACGCTATTCGTTCTCATGTCAATTTGCTTGAATTAAATTCACCCGACCGAATTTGTATTTGGCTGATTAGTATATTAGACCACTATTAGAAAAATAGAACTACTGAACGGCGGTTTCGTCCTAATGTATGAATCATTAGCAGTGCACATCCGTACACAGATCCCTACGTAAAGGAATCGAACCCACAGAGCCTTCGACTTTGTAGGCGAACACTTAATCGATTGATCACTAGTGAGCCCGCATTCAATGGTATCAATATCCAACATAAATGATTGAGTCTATGTTCATTTTGTACGAACATTCTACATAACTAAAAGAATGGTTGCTCAGAAGGGGCATCGGACACCTGACTTCCCAAAGGAAATTGGCTGTCATCATGAGACGTCATAACCATTCGTAATGAAGACCTTCTAACTTCCAAGCCAGAGTTTAAACTGATTGAATTATTTTTTTCTGGTTAGCGTTTTTTAGTGAGTTAGTTTTCTATGAGATGGGATCGCTAACCCCAAGCTCAACATTCCTACTTTATCCAGCCTTGGGACTTAGCAGTAACCCAAGAGGGACTTCAAGAGCAAAAGTTGAGATGAACATAAGGAGAATGAACAACAGTTAGACAGAACTAGAAAGAAAGGCCAAGGACAGAGTAGGTTGGAGAAAGCAAGTCGGCAGCGTATACTCCATCAGGAGTAATAGGTGTAAGTTAGTACGTAAGTAAGTAAGTAAGTAAGTAAGTAATGTTCATTTTGACTTTTTTTTGAAAATAAATTCCATTTTGTTTCTATTCTTTATGATAATTTTATACGCATTTTTTTAAAATTTTTAGAATGTATTGTTTAATAAATGTTAAACTAATGGATTTCTTTACCTCCAAAAATACATGATTTTTCAATTTTATTCAAATTAAGAAGTATTAAACATTTTTCTCTCATTCTTTCAAATTAAAGTTTTCACTTAAAGATCATGTTTCAATCCCTCAATAATCACACCATTTTAGATTAAATAGAATTAAACTGAGAAAAAAAACTTTACTTTTATTCAATGTATGTGTAGAATTTAGAGTTAATTACAATCTTTACCATTATTGAATAGTTAATAGGAATTGAACTCCGCCTGGAGCCCTTCAAGGGTTAGTTACTGCCAGTCCCAAGCCTGGATAAAGAAGGAGGGTTGGACATCGGGAGTTAGTAATCCCATCCCAAAGAATTCCAACTCGCTGAGAAGAAAATGCTCACCAGAAAAATAATTCACTTGTCGACGGTCTATGCACCATTAAGGGTAACAGGCGTAAGTAAGCAGGCTAGTAAGTAAGTATGAGTTCCATGTTGTATTTTTTTAAAGTTTATTTAAACACATTAATATTGATACAAAGGGTAACGTAAATGAATATGTGAAAAGTTTAGGATAGTGCGGCATCGCCTAAAAAAGTAGAAGGTGTTTTTTTTAGCGAAACTCCCCGAGCTGTTAACTTACAAATCTAATCCATAAAGAAATGAAGTAACAAAATGAGAAACAGTACCATGGTAGCCGGAATCCAACAATAATTCCATACGTTACTCATTCCTTCAGGATCTTAAAGACGATGTTAATTATCAATATGGAGTCATGGTTTTTTAGGTACTCTATATGGATCTTTCAATACCAACTAACCCGGTAAACGTCTCATCGTTCCATCAACTTTGTAAACAACACTCCTGCCGCACAGGAACTCAGTGAATAAGATTTCCCTAGCCGTTCCTGTACATGCTTGGTAAAGAAGAGTGAACTTTGTTCACTATTGACTGTACTACGGCATATGAGTTCAATCTCAGTCCAAATACCACAGTTATGATATATATTATAGTGATATTGAATGATATGAATTTGAATATCAGTGATGAGTATCAATTACCCTTAGAAAACTATTACAGCCTTTTTCAAACAGTGTCAACTGTCACGAAATCTGTAACAAATGAGTGTATATTTACAACCATAAATTTGTATCTTAACATCGTCAACAAAAGAAACTGTCTTACTCGAATGAGACAAACTGACATCATAGTATTTCGGATTCATTTTGACAAGATCGGAAGCTATTTCATCGCTTTCGAAGTTAGTGACAAAATGAAAGTTTTAACGAGTTGTGTGCATGAGAAGCTAGTTATTCACCTAACCAACATTTTATAAAACTTATCAGTGTCTCGATTACTTCAGTATTTTATATAAGTGTATATATATCACTAAAGTTTATTTAAGCATTTATTCGGGTTTTATCGAAAAGGTTTCTACGTATTCTTTGTCTTCTCATCGTTGTGTAATTAGGTGGGATAAGTATCAGAAAATATTTGATTGCAATATGTTATTTACTTCATATGTTCAACAAGATTGTGAAATATGCAGAGGACGGCTCACAGTCTCGTTTCAAGTGAAGACTGGTATCAGACAAGGTTGCTTATTCTCCCCCTTCCTCTTTCTCCTGGTAGTCGACTGGATTATGAAGATGTCAATATCTCAAGGGCAGCAGGGGATAAAGTGGACAGATTGGAAGCACCTGGACGATCTGGACTTCTCAGATGATCTAACCCTACTTTCCCAGATGAAGGTGGACAGCGTAGCAAAAATACCTGAACCTGTAGGTCTCAGCGAACACACAGATCTTAAGCTTAAACAAAAAATGTGTCAACCAAATCACACTTGACGCAGAAGCACTGGATGATGCCGAAACGCATACATACCTAGGCAGCATCATTTATAAACAAAGTGGATCTGGCGCCGATGTAAAGACACACATAAGCAAAACAAAGACAGCATTTCTACAAATAAAGAACATCTGGAACTGTCAACCAACACCAAAATCAAAACTTACAACACAAACGTCAAGAAAAATTTACTGAATGGGGGGGGGAGAATTGAAGAACAACGAAAGCCACCAGTCTCCTAAATGAAATACTTCGAATCCACTGTTCAAACATCATCAGCATTAACCTGCTCTAGGGTGAAACAAACCAGATTACAATTGAGGAAGAAATAGTAAGGAAGCACCCCCACATGGAATCCTCAATGTATGAGGAACAGAGGAAGACCAAAAAATACTTTACGCCGAAAAGTGGAGACAGAAATGAGAATAATGAACAGAAGTCGGGCAGAAATAGAAAGGAAGGTCGAAGAAAGAGTGGATCGGAGAACGTTGGTTGGAGGTATATGCTCCATTCAGGGTAACAGGCGTCAGTAATTAAGTCAGTGGTGAAATATCGTTTACAGCAACTTAAATCTAATTGTTACACTCCTCTTTAACTGGTACTCTATGAATCATGGTTTCATACTGAAACTTCGAGTGTGAATTCTGAACTTTCATCCTCATGATAACTTTGGTAAATTATATTTGTTCAGTTGTACAATTAACTGACACAATTTGACATTATAAATGGCTTACAAAGTACATAATTATAGGGTTTTGGTAATAACTATTTTAACAACATAATTCAATGGGATTAATATGAATCATTCTTCATGACAAGTCTGTTTTTCACATTTTTGAAACCATGATTCGACCAATGATAGACCACCATTAGAAACCTGGAAGCACTGGACGGCCATCGCCTCCTGGTAGTGGACTCCTCAGCAGTGCGCACCCACGACTCCTGCACCCCGCAGGTCTCGAACCCGGGACCTTCAGTATTGCGCGCGAACGCCCCAACCGTTAGACCACTGAGCCGGTACTTAGCGGTGTTAATGTCTAACTTGATCAAATTCACGGAGTTGCGCAACCTCATACACAGTCTTCGGTAGACACTGCCTACACCCGAACAGGTTGAACTTCACTGGTCACGTCTTCCCACTAGAACTCAGAGAAGATTCCTCACGAAGCTAGTCACTAGTGAGCACAGGTAATTTTCATTACAGGGGTTGTGAAGATTGGTAAGTTACACATTTTGAGGAGTCCCATACCAGGACGAAACGGCCGTCCAGTGCTTCCAGGTTTCTAATGGTGGTCTAACATTGATCGATTCATGGTTTCAAAAATGTGTAACTTACCAATCTTCACAACCCCTGTAATGAAAGATATTTTTCTCTCTATTCCTCCGTCATATCTAAAGTTTTACAATTCTAATGACTTCAGTCTTTTCTTTTCAAATCATCTTCTTCCATCATTCATATTTCTGCCATTTCTATTTCTTTGATATTTACTTATGCACATATAGTATGCTTACCTTTGAACGTATACACATTAGCGTTCTCGATTGACTATTTTTCTATTTTAAACTCGAACTACTTAATTATATTTAAAGTAGACAAATAATATAAAAGTAAAAACAATTAAAATGAAATGAATTTTAATTCATCATTCAAGAGAATACAACAAATTTTTTTTTTTTAATTCATGCTTTCGTTTTCTTATTTTTTACATTCCTAAACAGGATGTGATTTTTTACTGCTCAAATGTATATGCTATTAATGAAGAAAATAGAAATAAAAATCTTGATGTTGATAGTGATAATAATAATAATAACAATGATAATTATTATTACATGAAATATAATATGAAAATATTTTTAAATTTCCTTCCATTTGAACATGATCATTTTCTATTGCCATTGTCCTTATTTTTTTATCACATTAAATTGAATGAGTTATTAATCAGTAAGGCCAATTAAATTTTTCGTTGTTTCTCTTCATACCATAACCAATTAATAATTGAAATGATTAATACCATGATTAAAATTATTGTATTCATTAAAGTTAACGAAAACCATGGATTATTGTATGGAAGATAATTCTGTAAACAAAATATAAATAAATGAATTAATAAATACAGTAATGAATATATATGAAACAAGTAGTTAAGTTACTGATTTATTTATTAATGAAATATTTCTACAATTAAAATCATCAAACTTCATCTGAAGCCCAACGTTGGGTTACTTGCTGATCTCAGGCCTGGATAAAGGAGGAGAGCTAGAAATAGAAGGGTTGGTGACCCTGTCCTGTAGAAAACCAACTAGTTAAGGGATACGCTAAGCAGAAAAAAATTATTTGCTGGTCGGTAGATTATGCTTTATTAGGGGTAGCAAGTGTCAGTACGTAGGTCGGTAAGTTAAATTAGTCAACAACAACTGTGGTGCGAGCTACTTATAAGTAGTATATGACGTGAGCGTCAACGTAATGTCTGGCAGCAGAAGATGGGTGGAAGATCAAGAAAGGAAGAGTTAGAAGAACACAATGGAATTTGTATGAAACGCATGAATAGTGACAATGGATTGATGTTTTGCAACAGGAACAGTCCAGTTCGATATGATGAACTGATATTTTGCAAATGAACGATTTACGATATGGTTTTCCGATTTTACTGAGTAACTCTGTAATTTTCGTTAAACACAGTTCGGTTGCCCCACCTGTGTTCTCGCTCACTACACAACAACAACAACAAAAACAAAGGAATTCTATTACATAAATTTAAAGCAGTTAGTCCCTTTTATAAATTTTGATAGAACAGTCAGAAGACATCACATTTTTCAGATCAATTACGTCTTATCACTGTTCTATCAGAATTCTATTACGATAAGTGTATATTAATGAAATGATTAAATATTTGAATTATAGACTGTCAAATTAATAATCTAAAGGCTAAGTATTCACTTCTTTTTCATTTTATAGTTATGGAGATAGTTGTTTTACATTTCAATCATGAATCAATCATCGTTAGGTCACTATCAGAAATCTGGGTGCACAGGACGATCGTTTCGCCCTAGTATTGGACTCGTCAGAAGTATGCGCATCCACAACTCCTACAACTCGCAAGAATCTAACCGAGGACTTTCGGTTTTGCTTGGGAATACTTAACCTCTTAACCACTAAGCCGGTACCTACGGTGTCAATGTCTAACTTTGGTCTATCCAGGGTATTGGGTTACCTCACCCATTTTCTTCTGTAGGTACTGCCTACACTCAACAAAGTTGAACTCCATTCATCACCGCTTCTCACTAGAACTCCGGAAATGTGCTCAGGAAGCTAATCATCAGGGTGCATATTTTATGCTTTTTCATCATATAGTTATGGAGCTCGTTAATTTACATTGAAATCGTGAATCAATCACTGTTATACTCGAATGTTTGGAATCTCATCACCAGCAAAGTTACAGAGGAGAACAATTGAGAGAAATAATGGCCAACTATTTTCTGTTTTTTAATGTTAGTTCAACTTATATAAAAATCGATCAAGTCAGGGATTAACATTTCAACATTCAATTACTCACAAGAAAACGGAAATACAATACATCAAGTGTAGAAAATTTATCCAGTTTTTAAGTCTTCTGCTGATGATTCTGAATACAATGAGTAGAGCTGAATCCTCGAAGGTCAAAAATCAAAAGCCAAATGAAAACAGAATTGATGAGTATCGAAATATATAAAGGAAAACTTATTGGTAATTATTCATAGTTTTTCTCATCGAATGCAAATATCATTCATTATAAACATGCAATCCGCAAGCAGAGGTTTTGCATGATTGTCTCATCATTATATCAATATTCTAGGAATTCTATGGGGACTGTGGATGTCATGGAATATCTTAAACTACTTGAGATCATATTTAGGCCTCTGGGAATCAAGTCAAGTCAAGTTAAATATGATATAGAACTTCGTACGTACGTAAATTAGTTCAGGTTGCCATACCACATTAGCCACGGAAATGCAGTTGTCTATCCAAATCCCTTAGTGGTAGATGCACTAGAAGTATTAGCGGTAATGGAAAAGTGTATTCCAGTGAAATAAATTTAAAATGAGAAAAATGGTCGTGAGGAATTCAGAGGATTAGAATATGAGAGGAGACAAAGAATGGATGCACATAAGCTATTGCAAACGAGTTTTAGCTATGTCATACAAGGTCACTAACCTTCGGTTACTAATTTCTCGAAAACCCCAACCAGGTAGTCTTCACCCTCTAACATGGATCAGTCTAGTTCTCAGTGACTTCATGGATTTGTTCCATGTTCTGGTTTGTCCGGCCTTAGATTCCTTCCAGATCCTAAACTCTTAGCTAAGTAATCCTGTCGTCATATTTGTCGCGGAGTCCGGACATTAAAAGCTATAAAATGTGGTTTAAAACGGTTTTTCAAGAGACCAGGAATAACGTTTCGCGTACTGAAGTCATTTGCATTAGCAGCACGAGGTGATACGTGAAAAGAGTTAGTCTTGGAGAAAAGGGGGCTTTTAAAATGTGTAGGAAGGATATTTTTGTGACCAATGTGGTCTCGCGTGCTATTACTGGTATGACGGCGGATGTCACTTCCCAGCTGTCGACACCGTGGGAGGATGTTTCATGAGGAACCCGAAAAGAAAGGTACATTAGCGTCGGTGTAAGGAACCTGGGAGCGTGACCGCAGAGCCCAAACGACAACTCCTTGAGGCCGGTCACGCGCGACCTTTTCATACAAATTTGACTTCTTAGCTCTGCTCTTCGAAAGGCAAGGTGAGGTGTGGCATTTTTAGGTTAGGCCATTTCTAACCCCTTGCTTCATTGTGAGAAGGCAGAATCACGGCAGATGCCGGTTATCCGAGGGAAACACCTTACTACTGTCACACCTCTGTACAGTCAGCGGTACGACTCCGCCCTCAGATTTTCAATTGCGGCTTTTAGTCTTACCGTTCTCTAATTGACCTGGCTGGCATGTTAGGACTTCAATGAACATATGTTCCAACCAATATAGCTCGGTTGAGTCATCATAATTTGCAAAACCGACCATCACGTCAAAATAACAGCCACGGTTGGTATGCCTCTGGGAGCCATTTCAACATCACCAAGAATAGTTTTGCGACTTGGTAAATTGATTAAACTTAAACCATTTTACTGTCGTTTAATGCTCTGGATTATTTGGACCTACACATTGAAAAAATAACCGCCTAGTACTTCCTGTTTTTCAATAGCTGTCAAATTTTAGAATGTCTAACTTAAACAAATATAATTTTTGTAAGATTTCGATTTTTCACTTACCAATTATAATTATGTCGTTTATTCAATATAAATCACAGCCAATTAGTGATAAACATGTTGTTTAATTTTGTTATACTAACCCAAGATATGAACCTGTTAAAATTTATAGGTAAGACTTTGAGCAACACCGGAGTAACCTCGAGAAAAATCTCCTAATTCTTAGGGTTTTAAAGAGGGTTATAAATTTGTGCGAGGTATTAGACTTCCGGTTATGTATTAGAAGTTACACTTAAGAATGAGAGTCAAGGTTTTCATTAACTATAAAAACCCTCTATAATACCCAGTTGCTGACCAACCATGTTGTAACTCATTCAGGAATTTATGCTACCAACTTCTAGTTTCGGTTTTCAGTTTTGAGATGGTGGAGAAAACTTGTAGCTCAGGTGGATGATTGTGGTGGTGTTTCGTTCTCTGAGCTGGTTGTTTTGGTTGTGGAGCTTTCATTGTTCTTCTGAACAACATCATCAGCACAAACTTCTATCTGAAGAACGATGAAAGCTCCACAACCAAAACAACCAGCTCAGACAACGAAACACCACCACAAGGTTTTCAGTTTGTTAGTGTTAGGGTTGCTTGTGTTATTGTCGATAACTTTGTCTATCAAATGTAAGTACATTCTACGTAGCTACTGAGTCGTCGGCTCACTTCCCCTCTTGTTCTTTCCCACTTCCGAATAACCGCACACACTCGTTCTCACTCTCCCCAACCATACAAAGATACTGTTGGGATAGCCAATCGAGAAGCCACCCACATACATAGTCGATTGATGAACTTATCGATTAAATGTTTAAATATTTCAAGGGCAGTCGATTGATGAACTATTTGATTAATGTTCAAATATTTTAACGACAATATCGATTATTTACATAATTGTATAAATACGCATGTTTGATTGTATATTTTTGATTCTGTTAACAAGTGTTCTCCAACGTATTCCGTCTTCTTATTTTTGAACGGTGGGAGTCTAACGTTCGGTGTTGTCATTTGTACAGTGGTTTGGCGTTACTCAAGTACAGAACATAAAAGATACCTTCAAAGTAAATGAAAACTTATCAAAGTCTGAAGTTACAGTCTACATCAATGAATTTCGCGCCCTAATCCGAGACTCATTATCTTACATCTGATTGGTTCGTCCATAAATTATAGTCTCACTTTAGTTTTATATTTTTAGTTATTTAATATAAAAGTCTACATTAGCAGAGAGTGGACTAGTATAGTTTTTACTACATATTAACAACCAATCAAATACAAGGTGAAAAGTTGACCTAGTTAGTTTCAAATTACTGAATATTCACATAAATAATTTAGGATAAATAAATAATAATGATGTAAAGAATAAAAACCTCTATCATCCTTTCGAACAATATTTTTTGAGGAGAAAAAGATACAGTTTATTATATTTGTTCATATGAAATGTTATTTAATCATATAGGTGAATAAATTCCACTCTAAAATATCTCAAATATTATTGGTATGTTCATAAAATAATAATCTTGTTAGGTTTATGGATTGTATATATATATAGATCGGTGAGTGTTGTACGCACGATCTCCAGTATGCGAGGATCAAACCCAGGATTTTACACAAACGCTTAACATATAAACCATTGAGTCAGCGCACCCAATGATGTTTATGTCTGTTTCCAAACAACACATGATCTTGCGCCACCATCATTGATTGTTTCCAATGCGTAACTGCCTCACACAGGACACGACTAGATGCCGGCTCGACGATCAAGCTTTTAAGCGTCAGTGAGTGAAACCAAAAGCCCTGCGTTAGATTCTCACA